TTTTGGCTACGGTGCCCTCCTCGGCCGAGTCTAGTCTGGTCTCCTTACTGTTTGCTTCCTTCTCTCAACTTCTTCATTCCCTTTCAAAAAGCAGCGTCCGCGCTCGCTCCTCAACAAGTTCTATGTCGTCCCTGTCTGCTCTTTCATTTCAAACTCACTGGTCCCCCGCCACCCGTATCCACGAGTTTAGGATGCTGCTCACCGCTGGCGCAAGTACTTCAGATTCATTGCCCCTCCTCCAACTAGGTCCGAAAACAACGCAAGATGTCCCATGTGAAGCCTTTGCCCAACACTTCACCGGAGGCCTGCAGCCACAGGTCGACGAGGCTTCAGATGGAGCCGATGGCTCTTCCCCTGCTCTCCATTGCTCTCTCTTTCTGCAAGATGGCAGGACAGTTTCAGGGCCAATGCCCACCAGCTGGGTTGCTCACTGAGAACCAGAAACAAAGTCCCATGCAGTGGAGGTCCGCCAGCCGCCGACCGTGAGGATGAGTCTGATGAGGACAGCAGGAATGTATGTTGGAAGAAGCACAGCCTGTGCAATTCACCTTGCGTCTCACATTGTTTCTGGGTGTGTTTCCACGCGTGTGCGTGGCTCTCTGGCTGGCTGCCTGCCCGTCTGCGTGCCTGTGATTGTCTGTCTCTGTCACTGGCTCTCGAGAGCTGATCCAACTTCGCTGCAAGATGCTTAGGTATGTCAGGTTCGAAGAGGTGGAGGTAGCCCTGGCCTCCCCGACTGCTGTAGGAGGACGGTACAGAAGAGATCTTCAGCATGGCCAAGTTCCAGCCGGCTGGGACCTTCAGAGCCTTCAGAGCACAGCAGCAAGAGATGTGCAAAAAGAACAATCCGACAAATAGAAGTTGCACAAATGAGGCAGACTGAAGTGTCTCAGGATGTGGTGACTTCCTTTGCCAGATAACGAATAGGCTGAAGAGCAGTTGTTGAGAAACTGCAAGGAGTCAGTGAAGTCAAGCACGTGAGCACAGTGACATCGCCAAGCTTGCTATTTTCGCTTGGCCATGTCTGCACTCGTCCGGTCCTGGTGATGCAAGCTGACAACTGAGGCGCGTGCTAATCTGGGCCCTGGAAGTGGTTCCAATCTACGGGTCGCTGCAGCATGATTAGTTTGGAATCCTGAGGAGCATGCCATCAGATTGTGTACGGGGCATAGGGCCACTGCCGTCAGCTCCAGGCAACGTTCGGACCTACTGAACTCGGATTTGCAGTTGCAGTAGCATCCTGCAATAGCCGCAATGGATAGGTCATTGCTGTGTCATGTCAGCCAGGCGTGGGCGCTAGCAGCAGCAAAAGATCAAAGCGACGAGGAGGACTTCGACCATGCACTGTTCCTTGTGCTTCCAAGCCGGTTTGCCAGCTGCCGGAGGACAGTGGCGATGACGAGCTTGCCCGGAGCTCACTCAGGTTCCGGTACTCGCAGCGAAGTTGACCAACACTGTTCCTGAAAATACGGTATGAAACAACAGCGCTGTGAACGAGCGTTTCGATGGTTAACTGGAGACGTACGAGAAACAGCTGGATAGAGCTTAGAATAACCTGAACTGGTGGCGGTAGTTATGCAAACCTAACCTCAGCACGGTTCCCAAAGCACGGTTCCCAAAGCATGTCGAACCAAACCCAACCCAACTCGCAAAGGACTGGATCGCCCAGCGCCAGAAGGCCCTTGAGGGCAAGCTAACCCTCGGTTTCCATTTGATGGACTGAGGACTTCGTTGCACCTATTGTAAGCCCTTGGTTCTAGTTCTCTCAAGTCTCGGGGCCTTAGAATTCAAAGCCTATGCAGTGAGAGTGCTTTGCGTCGTCACCTTGCCCATCAGATGCGCGGTGCTGTCCCATCTGCATGGCCCTCGAAGGGGCTGCGATTTGTGCTGTTTGGCTAGGGCTGGTTTGGCTGTAAACTGGTGTCTGGTGTCGGATGCATTTCTGACAGCAGTAGGAATTCTGCTTCGGACTCTCCTTGCCTGGCGCCTCCGAGGCGCTGCCTTCCATGATGCCGGCTGCCTCACTGCCCAGCATGAGAGCTTTGGGCTCGGCCTGCGCTGCGGTTTGGGGTTCTTCTTGCAGGTATCAGTTGTTCTTTGTTGTTAGGGCCTGTTAGGGTCTTTTCTACTCTAAGTTGCCTTGATGTCGGCCGATGTCCCTAAGCTTTGCTTCGCGTCGATTCAGAATTCATGATTAACGCATGTCCGTCTGTTTGCTACTGTATGATTGTCGCGGTTTTCTTTTCTGCTGTTGTGGTTGTGGTTGATGGTGGTGGCGGCGGCAGCAGTGATCGGCTGTGTGTCGTTTAGGTCTTGTTCTGTACCCCGGCGTATTGGCGGCATTTGCTTCTCTTCTTACTCTTGTTAATTTGTTGTTGCTGCTGGTGCTGTTGTGGTTGCTTTCGCTGTTCTTGCTATTGGATCTGGCGTTGGCGTTTGAATCGTCGTCGTCGTTGTGGTTGTGGTTGCAGTTGTTGGCTGCTGGTTGCTGGTTGTTGATGGTGGCGGTGGTTGTGGTTGTTGTTGGTGGTGGTGGTGGTGGTGGCGCGGAGGTGCTGGTTCCGGTAAACAAACCGCGCATGCAGTTGGCAAGCGGAGAACGGTTCAAGCATGTTTTGCAGGAGCATCATGACATCATGCAAAGCAAATCCGAGCTTGACTTGTGCGGACGTTCCTGACCGTCATCTGCTGAAGCTCGCGAAATTTTGCTACGCATGAAGACGACGATGCGGACAGACCGGCAAAGATCGGGGACTGTTTGCCCTCTAAGCTAAGCTGTGCACAGGCAACTCAGGCCAATCAATATGTCCAACTAGAATGACCAGGGAGGTCAAACTGCAACGTGCAGCTGGCACACCTGACCTTGCCTCAGCCCTTCTTCACCGAAACCAATTAGGTGCTCCCAGCAAAGTCTGCCGCACCAGGCTTCGAGTGGCCGTGGGCCCAAGAATGACGAGGACTCCGACAGTGATGCCGGTGCCTGAAAACGCGGGGGCATGCAGGCTTCGCGGGCAATCGCGATGGTTCGCAGGAGAGGATCCGAAGCCGGTCCAAAGGGCTGCTGGTGATGATGAGCTCTTACTGCTGGTGCTGAACATGATTGCTGTGAGAAGGAAGGGCAGGAGGAGCACGCTGTGCATCCAGCAATTCCGTGGGTTGTGCTACTGCTGGAGCGGTGATGGTGATGATGCTGTTGGACATGGTGGTGATGTTGAGATTAGTGATTGATGATTAATGTTGAAGATGGCTGTGCAGCAGCGGGCAGCAGCGGCGGAGGCAGCAGCCGCTTGTTACTGTATGAAGGAGAGGTCTGAGAATGAAGATGATGATGATGGTGTAGGTGACGACAATGATGATGACGTTCATGTCAACGGAGCAGAAGAACATGATGAACATGAAGGCGGTGGTTGTGATGATGACCATGACGATGATGCTGAAAATCTGGGTGGGGATGGTTACAATTCTACAATGATGGCAACTAGCTATGATGATCCATGATTCAATGATGATTACGGCGATGTTGCTGTTTCTGTTGTTGTCAACGATGATGTGATGATAATATCAGCTGGTGATCAGTACGATGATGTTATTGCTGAGAAGACTCGCGACAGTGATGCCGCTGCTGATGATGACCGTGGCGAAGATGGATGTGTTGGTGATAATGTTGATGATGATGTTGCTACTGCTGGTGTTGAGGGTTGCCAGGATTATGGTGATACGGATGGTGACGAGTGCCACACCAACACGCTGCGGGTAGTGGTTATTGATAACGAGTTTACAGCGACCCAGCAGAACTGCGGCATCGTGGAAAATGACTAAGGCTAGGGGTGGGCATTTTTCAATAGTCATGCCAAATTAATCCCAACAGCGATGCCTCGCCTCTGTTGTCCTCCTTGCGGTGGTCAGCTGTGCCGCCTGCTAAGTTGAATGGCCGTCATGATGATGATGATGATGATGATAATGATAGGGATGATGATGATGATGGTGAGGATGATGGCGATGATGTGTACGCTTGAGACGCTGCGACGTGCCATGAGTTCAGTTTTTTTTGTGCCCCCCTTCAGGGGTCAGTCGGGTTTAGGCCAGGCGGGCCTTCCGAGGTCGAGCCTGTCTTCTTCCGACGCTGATTCTTCCGGCCAAGCCGCAGAGAGCCTCGCGAATGGTTCCCTAGCCGCCCTGGCCAAGGGGACCGCCAGCCACGAGCCACCAGGGAGGATTTGCCGCAAAGTTCCACTGCATGGGAAGCTCGTAATGTAGCATAAGGTATGACTCCAAGGACATGTCAGGAATCTTCCTGGGTCGTGGGCTCTCCACGTGAGCTCCCGGCATCCAAATCCTTGTCAAGCGGTCAGAAGGTTCAGAGACAGCGGTGCTGAACGAAGGCGTGCTTGTCAGTGCAACATTTTCAGTCTCCAAAGAACGAGACATGTTGAGATCAGCAAAACCAGAGGACTTTTGCGCTTTCAGAGTCTAAGATGCTTTCGTTGTTGTAAGGAAGGGCTGAGTCGAGTCAACCTCGGGCGAAGCAGTAGGACTGTAGGCATGTACTCAAATTGCTGTCTACAATGTCTGGTTCCAGCCCGTGGGGTTGACGTGTGGAGAGAGGTTCAGCGAGTTTCCATTGTTGAGGTCGGGACAGAGATTCCTACCTAAACCAAGTTTCCGCCTATTCATATCTCGGCACTCACCACTTTGCTTTTGGCTCACGACAGTAGCCGCTGAGAAGCTCGTGGAAAACCCTGCCGAGACTTGGCTCATGTTCTGGGTTCGTCGAACCTGCCCGAAGCACATTTTGAACGTACGAGCGTCTTGTTGGTACAGGTCCACTCCAAATCAAGTCAAGGGTTCAAGTACAGGCCATTCGGATCCAGTGTTGGAGCCGTGTCTTTCTGCATGCTTACCGTGCATGTGTACTGTGGCTGTCCAACACACCACCGGTGCATCGTTGTACGTTGTGCTGCGAGAGAGGGCAGGACATGTTGCTGGGCCTTTGCCCAGGCATGGTTTCTCAGTGCGCGGCTATGCACCGTATTCTTTTGACGGCTACGGCCGTGCTTTGGGGCATCGGCACCTGGGATGCCAGCGCAAGCACGATTTTGGCGTTTTGATAAGCTTCGGAGGCTCTTGATCTTGTCTGTGTTGCAAGGCGCTTAGATGACCACTGAACCTCCTTGGCAGCGCCTCACCAAGGCAATGCAGAGTTCGCCGAAGACGCCGAAGAAACTACATGTTTGGAAGCTGTATGTGCTGGACACGACAGAAGCGCTTCTGAGGACATGGGCCTGCAATCAAGGCTAAACGAATGCTGTGATGGTCATTTTCCATAATAAAAGTTCTCTCCAGAGGATATTTACAGCCTGCCTTTGATGTGATGATCCCGACCTCAAGTGGCGCTCTCACCTAGCCCGAGCTTTGCAATTCAGGAGGTCCAGGCTCTTCGAACGGAGCTCCTCCAGACCGCTGTGCAGCTGAAGCGCAGCCGCTGGGCTTCACATTGCACACACTCGCAGAGCTCCTAGCGCAATGGTCCGAGGCAAGGAGGCGGAGCCGCCCAATGACATGCTGCATGACTTGCAGCTCGAGACTTTCCAGGCTGCGGCTGTTGCACGGAGTCAGGGGGTAGGAGCATCGCGGCCACTTGTGCATTCATGATCTTCCAAAGAATCGTTGCTAGCCAAGAAAAGGCACGTAGAGTCGGATATGAGCTGCCTGTGGCATCGTACGACATTGTTTGTGTCGCTGTGTTGCCGTGGCATTCTTTTGTGTCAGAGAAATGCCTTCAATTTCGCCAGATTCTAGCTTGCTGCTGCTACTCACTGCCCGGTGTTTTGCTCCCTCGTCCTCCGGAGATGCCAAACGAAGCCTGTTCGTGTTTATGAATAGTGGGAGGGCAGACGGACTTTGACATGCTCTTGACAGTGACATGAGACATGCGCAGAGCAAACAAGAAGCCTTTTCCATGATCTCCGGAGGCTATGTCCGAGCACCGAGAAGCCCTGCGAAGGCAGGCGGATGCCATGGCAGCTGAGACCAGGACGGCCGAGGCCATTCAAAGGATACCTGACTTCTAACAAGCTCGTTCTTGGATCGTGCAGGCCTTGAAGGCCATGAACCACGAGACGTCGACTGGCCCACCCCAGGCAAGGGCCCTCACGGAACTGCTGACCGGTGTCTTCTTTTTCGACATGGCCTGACTCCCAAAAGAGCTGTTAGGAACAGATCGCACCGAGCGGCCCAAAGCCGAAGCATGGGATGCTCGGCTGATCAGGCTTTTTGGTCGACAGAAGGATCCGTGTGCAGTCAGAACCAGACAAGACGCACCTTGAATTACCTACGATGCGGCGACCTGGTCAGCAAAGGAAGCATCATCACCACGGTGGCGAGAACAAGCTTCTGCAGGCTCTTTCACAATCGTCTCGTTCCCCCTGATTTCGGATCCGTATCAGCAAGAAAGCCCCCCATCCCAGGATATCAATCATGGCATGAGAAGATCGCAGCTGCAAAACGCAGCAGAAGGTCATGACCTGAATATGTCATAGTGAGGCGTGCCATAGCGCCACTTCTAGAATATATGCTGGAATCAACACGAGGACGAGGAGTCCAAACCTTTGAGCTCAACTGCAATTTCTTACATCACATCGCCAAATCAGAATGAAGCGGAAACGGATATGAACACTGGTACAGAGCCTGTAAGTGAAGTATCGCAATTGAACAGACAGCCTGTAGCACAGAAGTGGTAGTCGCCGTCGTCCTCGTCGTCAAGGCTGTGCTAACTGCTAGGCACTGTCTTAATAAGTCCGGAAGAGAACTATGTACAGCAATTACAGTAGAGTGCGGATCTTGCGCTGGTTTGCGACCAGTGCAGTTCGAGTAGTGAGAACTTGTCAGCCACATGCGAAGGTCAGACCTGGTAGAATCTTGCCGAATCACGGTCTGTTGCCGACCCATTTCCGGCAAAAAGGAACCTCAAAAAGGTTGAGCCAGCAAGCATTTGGCAGCACCCCCTAACTCTACAGGAGGCAATGATTCCGGCGGGTGCCCTCGCTGCAGGTGCATTCAGCCACAATCACTCTTCGCAACTTTGGGGAAGTTCGCAGACATCGGAAATCATCATGCTTTGCTGCGTCATGCTCATTGTGCTGGAGGTTCTGGGCCGGGAAAGCATGTCACGTTCACTCCACGCGTACAACAGCGCTGCTTTGATTTCAGCTGTCCGAATTGAAATACTGTGCCAGGCATGCTGCTGCTGTGGTACCAGCTGACCACTGCCGGTATCCTTGCCATCTATTTTGGTGCTCAGGCCAAGCAGCAAAGAATCACAAGCTCTTCAGATCTTCGGGTCTGCTTTTGTGGCTGCTGGGGCTCCTCCCCTCGGTGTTGGTTGCTGCAGGCTGGCTTCACCCTCTACATGAAGGTCGGGCGCATTCTCGAGCGCCTTCGTGACTGGTGCAGTCCTGTATGTAGTTCATGGAACGTTCATGGATGGAGATGCTTCTCTGACGCCAGCGAGTCCCTCGAAAGGGCCAAGCCGCTTAGCCCTCGATGTTAAGTGTCTGCACGGCATTCTGTTCAGGTTGTCCTCTCCAACTCGGTCATCTCACAAGAGCTAGGCTCCTTGGACTTTCACAGCATCGGAATGCACCCAAGCCACAACTTGCAGACTCTGCAGGCATCGACGGCGTTCCTGCCGGCTTCCTCGTCACGGCAGTGCAGCAGGTTGTGGCATTCATTGTGTCCAGGGCCCGCACTCAGGGAAGTGAGGGCTCAGGCTCACGTTGGCTCGGGCTTCAGCACAGTCTCGACGTCAGGTATGGAGTGAAGAGAGTCCGCCGTCAACCGGGAAGTCATGGAAGCGTGTTTTAGAGAGGTCCGTCCCGGGAAAGCCAGCCAATCTAACAACAGGTTGCGTGCTTCCTCTTCCTCCTCTTCCTTCTTAGCTGGAAATCTTCCTGTGGGTCCAAGTGTCGACATGCCGTGGCATTGGTACTAAGGTTGGCCATCATCGTTGCAGCGATGTACTGCACGCCCTACCGATACACCCCTCGACCGCTCAAGAGCTGGTCCGAGGCAGTGCGAGAAATGGGCAGTTCCAGCCGGAAGCATTGCCACAGCACAGAGCAGAGGAGAATCCAATTCGTCATGTCTGTGTAGCAGCCGAGCATTCCGCAGCTGAGTTGTCGTGGCATCACATTGCAAGGGTGAACCTCCGCCGAAGCCGTGTGCACTTTGCCGTCAGGTGGCCTGCGTGATTATTTTTTCGTTCGCCTTCTCCTTGAACATTGGCCTGAACAACTTCAGTCTGTCTTTACTGGCCGTCTCGCTGAACATGATTATCCGGCAGCCTGGCTAGCTTCAGCCAGTTTGTGTGCACGCGACGGAAGCGAATGACTTCGGTTTCAGATTCACCTCGCGACAGTGTCTGCCAGCTCGCGGCTTGCTGTGCTCTCCTGAAGACCTGGACCCCCTTATGACAAAACAGGGCTGGGACTGGGGTTCACAGCGCCTGCCGAGGATCACCTGTGGCCCGAAGCCTGCCCAAGCAAGACCTTAAGGCATCTCAGATCGCTTTGCGAAGCGGCCGAACTGTCGTTGAGGTCCGGCCACGAGCCCACTCGCCGCAACTACCCTTTGCGTGTCTCGAAACGTGGGCCTGCACTGGGTTGGAAGACCACAAAAACCTGGAAGCACCTTCCACCGCGTCCCGCTCTCAATAGCCGGGCCATGAAGCACCCTTGTCTCGCCCTAGGTCCTGCCTGCCCATCGTCACCCTGGCCTTTCAGCAAATCCTGGGACCCTGCACCTCGGTTGGAAGAGGGGTAGGCCGAGTGCAGGGCTATTGGTAGTGTGGTCTGAAGGTCTTCGTCGATAAGCTTCGGGGAAAATAGGAACTTACCTTCTGCAAGTAGAGGGTTTTCAATTGGATGGGAGCCACCTGTGGCGTTTGGAGGATGTTTGGGGGTGGCTGTAACCGGGCTTGGCCGACCTGTGAAGGCTTCAACCTGTCGTGCCACAAGCTGCGGCTGCCAAGTGCAACCCCAGTCCGCGCATGAGCTTCGAATGGCCCAGGCATCCCCGACTTAGCGCAGAAGGTCCGGATGACGGAGGTAACCTTGATGGTAGCAGGCACGGATCGGCTCAAGCGGAAACGTGGAATACCAGGAGTACAAGTACCATGTCCAACAGTGTACCACTCATCTACCACTGGCCGAAGGTGTGGTCTTCGCAGCTGTAGCTACGCTGGCTAAGAGCGAAGGCCTCCTGTCGACCTCGCCATTCCATGAAGGGTCAGTGCGTCCATGGCAGTATCAACTATTCCACATGACGAGACCAGTCCAGAAGAACAGCCCTGGCACGCGGCTTGCAAGGCTCGCATGGTGGTGGTAGCGAGTCCAAGAACCTTTTGCTGGGTGTCTTCGTCTGCACTCTGCTACCTGACAGCATCTCATGAATCAACGTCAAGATGAGCCACATACATGTCGGCTTCCGTGATTGTAGTTCAACCAGCCCATGCCTGTCAGGTCCGATGCGGCCTGTGCGGTCAACCTCATCCTGGGCAATATGTTTGGGAGCTCGCTGGACCCACCACTAAATCCTGCCCCTTGCCAAGAACCTTTAAGAAGCCACTGCTTTCGGGAAGGCAGTCGGGTGCAGGCAACGAAAATGCAACGAAAATTCGTAGTAGAAAGGTGCTTGTGCTTCAGAGAGACTTTCTGTACCATGTGCATGTGGACGTGCTGCATTTAGGTAGACACCATCTTCTACATGGCGCTGCCCTGCGCTCTCTTTCTGCTGCCAGCTTCCATCCTCCTGATGAGCCCTGGATTCAATTCAGGACGGTCGTAGGCTTACATGGATTCTGGTCGAATGCAAGCGTCGACACCGGGTGCAGCGCAGCGGCCTTTTAGGGAGCCCTTATCGCATCAAGTCTTCGTTGTGTTAGGCTGAGTTTTCCCTAGGCATCCGGTGGGGTGGCCCAACTTCGGCGACATCACCGACCTGCAGGCGCACTGCCCATGGTGCCTCCGACGCGGCTTGCGACGGGGGCCTTCAAGTCTTGCGGCCTGGTCGCAGGTCTTTCAGAAGGTCATGGAGCTCAGCCCAACGACGATGCTCTGGGTTATCCTCTCCGGATGCATCGCTGCAGGTGGGGCGGTGAGACACCAAAGCAGAATGCAAGTTGGCAAGAGAACCAGACTAACGAGACCTTCTAAGAGCATCATTAGACCCTTGCCTATGCGGACATTGACCTTCCATCCTGCATTGTCCAGACATGCCCGAACATGATCTCTATGGCAGGGTCTTGGAAGGAGTGTAAGGAACCAAGAATCATTTGTTGCTGACTTGGGCTTTTGATTTGCACTCGAAACTCCAACCCCTCAGGCAAGAAGGCGTCGGATCCACGAGTCCCTGGGGTGTTAATCACACGAAGCCGCCCTTGGGTTCAGGATACAACGTCCTGCAGTACACTGTGGTCCAGAGATTATCGGCTAGTCATGCTGCATTTGCTGGCAATTTCAACAAGGCTGGATCAAGGATGAGTTTGCAGAAGTCTGTTCGTGCTCGTGTGTGGATCAGTATTCGAAGTCAAGCTCAGTTGCATGTTTCGATCGACTTCATGAGTCGTGTGCATGATATCTCGCTTCCATGTCGAGCCCAACGGAGGCAGCCACCATCATGCTCTCCATTTGCATGGGTCTGGAGACCTTGCCCGGCGGCGTCTGGAGCGCGGTGAGCCAGCCGAAATGGACCCCCCCACATGTTTTCCTACAGCCCGCAGGGACCTGCTTGGTGCAGTTGCTTCGATGCAGAGCCCATGAAGTCTTTATCAGGTCATGCTGCTGGCCATCCTCGGGAACATCGGGGCCTTCACTGGCTTCAGTTTGCCTCCGGACTCAAAGTTTTTGAATTACATCCTGGAGTATGCAAGGCCAACAGAGGATTCGTGACAACCTTCTGATCTGCAATGTACATCTTCTACGTTGCAGCATGGTAGTGTTCTTTTCAGAGAGCGAGGCCGATTGATGCGGCGAACGTGTACTGCTTTGTCGTCACTGACACGGCTTGTCAAAAATGCTGAGCCACCTAAACTCCCCGCCTGCCCACGCTAGGCTAGTTGTGATGGCCACATGTACAATAATAGGGCGGCAGTACGGAGGGGCCTTGGGCAGTTTGCTTGAGAAGGTTGAAGTCCAACGAGAAAGCTGTGAAGAAGGCTGGCCGGTCTTTTTCAATCGAAGTACATCGAACTACGAGCCCGTAGCGGATTGGTTAGGGTGGCTGCGTTCTTTTCGGCACCAGAGCAGGATGCACAGACCCGCCGCCAAAACAGGCGGAGAGCGAGACATCGTCCAAGTCTTAGAGCCTGTAAAGGCTTGGCATCTTGGCTGCGTGGAGGTGTCTGGTCCAAGCGAAACTTGCGACCTGTGCCTGACAGTCGCGCTTTAAGGTCTGGTGCTTCAGAAACTTGGACTGGTATCATTTTCATTGCCCTTCGTTTGCACTGTGCCCGGCTGCACGAAAGATAGGTCTCACTTGCGCATACTTGTGGATAGCTGATGCCCGCGCCGAGCTTGCGTGCGCTTGTGTCGCAAACGACGGATCGCATTTGGTGGAAGCATCGGCTTCTGCTAGGGGACTAGGGGCCAGGTTACAGAGGATACTTCGGGGCGTGGGCCTACAAGGGACGATCCTGGATGCTGCCCTAGGGTCTAGATGCGAGGAGCAGAGGTCGCTGCGATGAAGCTAGGTTGCCGCTGTCTACGGGATGGTGCTCAGTGACATTGCCGCTATCACATCCTTGCTGGTGCTAGCTGTCCGGCTCGGAAGTAGGTATTTTCACAGATGCACGAGAGCACGTGCTACCACACTTGATGACCAACATTTTTCAGCCAGCAGTCTTCCGCCTTCAGCCAGTGATGCCGCGCTTGGGCAGACAGCTGCGGAAACTGCCTTCAGAGAAGGTCAGACGCTAGTTCTTCAGATGTTCAGCACCGTCTGTTGGCTTCGGCCTGGGATTCCCCTCAATCTGAGATGGTTTAGCCGTCACGCGTCCTTGATATGCACAGTCACCCTGGCTTGTTTTCCATCAACCCGTGAGAATTCGAGTCCCCGTTTGCACAGGAGAAGTGTTGAGCCCATGGGAGGAAAGGGACGCCGTCCGGCCCCTGGTTACCAATCAAGGTGCATCAGGTCAAGGCAGAGCCGCATTGCTCCGTTTTGAGTTGACAACATTGATAACCGTCACCGAGACTTGGTACCGTCTGGGTACCATGGAACCAAGTTGAACACAGTCTGGGATTTGTTGGGAATTGGCGATACGAGCAACGCCGAGGGCTTGATCTTGGAACCAACTGGTGGGCGTTGTAATGCGGAGCAACGCATATTCTCACAACAACATAAGGATCACGACATGGTTGCCCTTTTCCATGCTTACCTTGAGCACCCGACGTCGCCAGTCGAACTAGTCTACGCCCTTGCCTGCCTCAGGTGGTGGCAAGGGCAAGGCTCGCAGTTTCATTGGCGAAAGACGACGGAACGGGGCGAAAGAGTTGTGGTACTTGCTGGTCGGTTCGTTCAGCTGTGTTCGTGTCCAGGCTGTGTATCCAGCGGCTTTGTCCGCAGTTCAACGTCAGTAGACCATGAAAGTTGGTTCACGGACACGGATCTCGGAAAAGGTTGGTCAGTTCCTGGTTTTGAAGTGCGGCATCTCTTGCTTCTGCAGGGGGGCAAAGGCGGTGGCAAAGGTCCCCGCAGGCGGGGCATCCGGCACGCTTTTTGACAGATGCATGGACCGATGCATCTCGAGGCCGCTCCGAAGATCGGGACCTCCCAGGAGGCTTCTTGGCTCCAAATTGTCGATCATCAACATCTACAAATTGCGATCGAGTATCCGAAAACCACGCGCAACCAGGGCGATGCAGGGCAACACGCAAGATGCAGTTCCGACGGAGGCATTGAGGGTGTTTGATACATCTCAGGCCCACGGTGCATCTCTGGGACAGGGCTGTTATGTTCCCTTTGCCTCATCAGTCTTCGGGCTTCCCTTGCCTGCAGCCGAGCCGAGGGCGGCAGCCCGACCTGCTCGTGCCGCGCCCGGCCACTTTCATGGTTGAGGGACTCCGGGTCCGCCATGCCAGAATTGGATCCAACGTTTGAGAGACTTGCAATTGCAGCAGCCAGTTATCGCAGTGTTTCCTAGTCCTGTAGTAACAGTAGCAGGAAGCGGATCTGCGGATGAGGCCTGTCTGATCGCCTCGCTAGAGACGGTCTTTGTGGCTCAGCCAAAGCATGTACTGGTAGCTTGTGATCGGACGCCAAGCGCCAAGCTGACAGACGGTGACCTGCACCCCAGACCCTCCAAGCCTCCAAGAATCCGAGACTGGAAGAATTGAACCTGTGACCTTCACCAGTTCACCACACGAAGCCAACTCAAAGCCCTTCACTCGCCTCTCGCCCCCCACGGGGGAAAGCCCAGGGCCGCAGGCCCTTGACACCTACAGCAACCATCAGCAACCTACAGCCAAGCCCAGACTTTTTGTACTTTCAAGCCTTGAAGCCACCCACTGCCATGGCCTCCGAGCCGGACGCGGCAGGAGCCAGAGTGCCAGGACCTGCCCGCAGAGCCATCGCTCTGTGACTTTGTGTCTTCACGGAGAGAGAGAGAGAGAGAGAGAGAGAGAGAGAGAGAGAGAGAGAAAGAGGGCACAGGGGGCAACTTCCTGTGCCCACAGCCCTGGCGAAAGAAAGAGAGAGAGAGGGGGGAACCCCTTACCCCAAACGCCGAGCAAGCAAGCAAGCAAGAGAGAGAGAGAGAGAGAGAGAGAGAGAGCGAGCAACGAGGAGCAATGCTCCCACATGCGCCAGCTGACACTCTCGAGTCTGCTGCCCTATTGTGTCTGTAGCACAGGATGCGTCATGCAGGGCTGGCTCATGAAGCGGAGCCAGCAGCTCCTTCAGTGGCGCTGGCGTCGCCCTGCAGCATAGTTTTTGTCCGAAACACTCCCGAAATTTTGGGCTCGTGACCAGCTGATGCAGCAGCCTAGAGCAGCAAGTGAGTCCGTGAGTTGGTGGGTTGGGTTACCGCGCAGTCATGGAATGCCAGACTGTGAACGGACCTCAGTGCGAGAAATTGATCATGTCATGGTCTGTTTGTATTATCAGAAACTCTGTCGACAAGTGCATTCTGCTTGTATTGCTATACAAGAGAGCCATGTAGTGCATCTTGTGCTCCGTTGCCGCACTTCGGATGTCCAAGGCTATGTCAAGCTTACCTTCGACAAGCATCTTGTGACGTTCACGTCGGAGCAGGCATGTCAGGCATGTCATGCTCCCAAGTCGTGCTTTCTGCCGAAGAGCTGCTGGCTCAGCGCACTGAAGCAGTCAAGATAAGTCAAGTCTCCGACGTCATCTGTTGGACACAGTCTCGGGTTTGCAGGCTGACGTGCTCACCAACGATGTAAACGTCGGTGGTTCAACTGCTGAGGCTTCGGACGGGGGCAGCTTCATGGACCTTTTTGGACGGACTTCTGGCTGGGCTGGACGTCCCAAATCGGCACTGCAGATTGGAGACACCTACTTGTTTTCACTGGACGCGTCTTCACGGATGCTGGTGAAACAGTCCTGCAAAACGGCTCACGCTGACGCCTCCAATCCGCGCAACTTCCGAGAGCAAGTCACCTTAAAGCTTTCCCTTTCTGTGCAGGCCACCGACTTCTTCCTTGCTGCCCCGGTGGACTTCGGTTTCCTGGTAGCGTGCCGCCTGGGGCCTGGTCATGCCTGGTCAAGTTTGTCAGGGAGCTCACTTGAGACCAGCTCCTGGTGTGGAAGATTCGAAAGACTGGTCAGCAAATCTAGGCAAATTCCGCCAAGTTGCCACGAAAAAAAATTGTGGTAATATCGCTGACTCGACAAAGGTGAGAAAACGCTTCGGTTTGCAGCCGAGACAGCTGCGACACGCGAGGCCATTATATTATGCATGCTGTCACCGAAGACTCCATCCATCCTGAGTGTAGACAGCACAGGGTGCCATTGCTGACCTTTGCACTGTTTTGCACCAGCCTTCGCCGTGGCAAAGCTTGGTCGAAGCTGGTGGAACCCCGCACAGGCATTGTTCGGACTCTGCATGTCGTGTTGGGGTGGCAGCTTCCTGCTTGCCTGCTTCCTCCCCTCAGGCATAATGTGAGTTGGACAGAAACTGTGAGTGCGCGCGTGATGGGTCTGCGGTGCTTGCGCTGCAGGAGTGGCTCGAGAAAATCGCGAGCATCGCTGATCGGCGAAGTCTGGATCCGGGAAAGGAGGCGCGCCAAACTCTTTGCTGAGACTTACATCTCCAAAACGACAGCTCTGCGAGACCCCTATTGCTTGCTTACCATCACCAGCTCCCAGTGTTGCGAAAGTGTTGCGCTTGGGTCAAGTTGTTGACGCCTCCCCAAAGGTGCTCGTCGTTTACGTCAGCAGTCCTCAACCCCTGCAAATTCCGCACGATGGTGAACAACATGTTGATGATGAACATGTTATTGAACTTGATACTGATATAGGTGTAGGAAGAACACGCCTGAAGTGAAGGTTCTGGATGCGGAATGAGTGCGTATGTTTTGGATCAAAGTGCCGGTAACTCACAGCAGGGGGAGCTGATTGAGGGATGGTCATGCCTCTCCTGCAGAAGCCCGAAACTTGGAGTACAAGCATGGCAAAAAGAGCCACATGCCATAGTGGCTGAACTTCGACACACCGGAACATAGCACTCACTGGCCACATTCTTCCATCAGGCTGACAGCCCGGCCTTTGCCCGAACCGACTCACCGAGCTCTTCGCTATTTTTACAGCCGATAGAGGCGAGGAGTTGCAGTTGGCCTATCGTCCTGGCATTGTCCAAGACCCTGAAATCCTCCGCCCTGAAGTGGAAGACATTGCACAGTGCCAATCTTGTTCCGGCGCAGGTAACATCAGGAGCAGAGTCGTTGAATAGCGGTCCAACGTCCAGCGTGTGACACGTAATTCACGTGAACATGAAGCCAAACTGCAGCTGCCACTATTGTTGCTTCGGGGTCTTACAGCTTGATGATGTTCCTTTAGGAAGTAATATAGTAGTCGTCGTCGTCGTAGTAGTAGTAGTACTAGTCGTAGTGGTAGTGGTAGTGGTCGTGGTAGTGGTAGTGGTAGTGGTAGTAGCAGCAGCAGCAGCTGCAGCAGCAGCAGTAGCAGTAGTGGTGTAGTAGTAGTCGCAGTAGTAGTAGCAGCAACAGTAGC